AGAACCGCGGTGGTTCTAGCGCCACATTGCCCCTTCAGCTGCCTCTTCCAAATATTATTCCGTCTGAGATAAACAAGTTTGAGGCAAAAGTAAATGCTCCTGTGCTGCCTCTGTCAGCGGTTGATGAAGTAAATTCTGATTCTCTAGCCGAGAACCTATTAAGACTGTTGCGTTCGCCGCCTATCGATAGCAGAATCTGGTCAGAGGCAGTACTGATGAGAAACAGCACACCTTTTAACTTCGGATACAGGCCAAAACCTCACTCAACGGGTGATATAGGCGCATCAGCACCAGTGTTAACGACCAGTATAAAGAATTCAATAGAAAATAGTCGGTTTAGAGATCACGGCATTGGTGTAATAGAAATATATGCTGGTCAATGGCACGAGGACCAACGTTCTGGATATGGAGTTGCCCTGCGAAGTGATGGACTTGCATATTCAGGAGAATGGTTGGCTAATCAAAAGCACGGCCTTGGAATGACTGTATATCCAGACGGTAGGAGCGAAGAGGGTAGATATAGAGCAAATCGTTTGGTGGTCGAAGTAATTCGGCGTAACCGTCTTCAGCTGTTCCGGAATTCAAAGTTACGTGAAAGCGTCGAAGAAGCTGTGCGCCGAGCAGGCGAGTCAGCTCAGGAGGCACGAAATAACGCGGCTACCATGGCCTACATCAGGTTTGTAAATGATACTTGAACTTACCCCCCCCAAAACAAACGTTGCAAAAGCTTAGGTAGATAAATTTAATAATAAATTGAAGTTATGAATACCAAGATTGAATATGAGGAAATTAGTGTGAAGTGTGAATAGGTCTCATTAAATCCACTTAAGATTGCACATCTGAACTAGTTTTAATTAGACAATTAAGAAATTATGATATTTAAGCTGGTGGTGAATAAATCGGAAGAGAAGGAGAAATACCACAAGTGTTCAGCAGACAGTTAGTCAAAAGGTCGACATTATTTATCTTTTTGATGAGTTATAGTGTGGTGCAAAAACTGGCAAGGCTCACTGATGATGCCGGCTACAACCCCAGCGAAATATCTGGGAATGTACCAAGTACACGGTCCGGCTATAGAAATTTTACTATGGTCTCCAGATAAGGTGCGTTATTCTAGGTCTCCCAGATTATACGAAAACAAAGTCAAACAAATTTCAATAATGAATTACCTACATTTTTCAAAAATAAAAATGATGCCATTTTAGCTGCGTACATAATGACACCTTCTATTTTGTTAGCTCACCATTAACCGAAGGAATGTACGAAGAAGACTTCGGTTCACTGTACTGCGAACCCGATGACTCTGTACTAGCTTTCGTCCTTCATGTGACGAACATGGTCAGAGCCAAAAACCATTATTTACGATCAATCACGAAAAGCATTAAACCAAGTAAGGTGGTGATTGAGATTCTACTTACTTCTCATACATCAATTTGCAACATAATGCGGTATTCCATGATTTGGTTGGCTGCTTTAGGCTTGTCCTACATAGCGTAGTAATTATAATCTCATCCGGCCATCTTACTTGGATCAGCATTTTTTGGTCATTGTTCAAAAATAATGGTTTTTAGTTATGATGATGTACGTCACATGACGGGTGTAAACTCAGCATGGAGTCACCCGGGTCACAGAACGGTGAGCCGATGTCTTCTTCGTACAATTCAACAGTCACAAGTCAAAGGTAACCCATTTGCGGTATCTGGTGAGGCCAATTTATGAATCCCTTCCACCCAGGATTTCAACAAAAGGAAAGATATTCCCGTATCAATCTTCTAAGGGATTTATTGATACTTAGCTTCTTTTCAAGCATCTATTTGTAATTATTTAAGTTCTAATTACTTAATATACTGCTAAATATTACACTATGCTGCGTAAAATTCGAGCTTTAGTCTCTTTTATATAATATAATACTGTATATCTAGCTTAGGCACTATTTTATTTTTTATAGTCCGAATAAAAAGAAAATTAATGGAATACCTTTTAGCAAAGATACTAGAGCTTACAAGGAATTATATGACCTTCAAACTAATTGTATTTATTAGAATAGCTGCAGACCAAGATTGCTTTTACTCTAGGCTGATCTCGGTATCCCTTCTCAGTATATGAATGGCTTGTTCCCATTCAGTAAGATGATAGACAATTCATATAGAATGTATCAAATATTGAATCCTCTGCTATAGAATTCATGATAAATTTTAGCATCGGACCATTTACTTTGTAAATTTCCAGACTTTATTTTGGCAGTGTGATAGGCATCACCAATGAGAGACTACATCCTTAGCGCTGAGTTATAATTCTTCAAGAAGGCAATCTTATTAACTAATTTTCTTTTCAATCGTTATGACATCTACCTTCCCACATGTTCTGGTTTCTAGAGTTTTATCTTAATTGCTTAACCCAACTCCATATACTCAAATTTTCGAATTACTTCTTTTAGAGTTTTTATTTCTTCCAAAGCCAATTCAAAGGAATTCAATAAAGCATAATCACCATCACTATATAATTAGTATAGCAACCGCAGGGCTTTAGAATCCTAATCAGCACCTTCATTCAACCTTTCCCTGTATCCATATTGTTAGCTGTTCCTTTCTGAACGCAAATATCTTTATCATATTTAACTCGCTGCCTCTAATCGCCCAAACTCGAAAACTCTTTCGACCATATTCAATGATTCATTCGCTTGACTGGTTCTGAAGATATGATATAGCATGTTGGGTAGTCTTAGCGAAACTATTAAAAAGGTGAATAGTTGATCAATTCTTTCACAAGATTGGTATTTGCAGGAAGGAAACAATTGATAAGCTTTGATACAAAATTAATTTATGCGTTTTTTAGGAGTACAAGCGCTAACGGAGATCTTGGAAATAAAAACTGATATAATCACGGCCGTCATAATTGAGCTTACGATAACTGCACAAGTAAAGTTCCACTTAGTAGATTAAATTGTAAGGCTTCCTTAAAGTTTCTGAACCACATCGATTACAAAATTAAAGTCACATATAAAATGAAGGAAAACAGAATAGTACAGTTCCTGGAGATAAAGGCGATTCCTCAGAATGAGAACCTAAGATACTGTTATCCTTA